CAGCTCATTTCTTAGCAGTTAAGAAGATAGAAGGTGCTAACCGTTTAGCCCAGAAGTATGTGGATGAGATTGTAAGGTTGCATGGAGTTCCTGTAAGTATTGTCTCAGATAGAAATTCGAAGTTCACCTTATTGCTTTGGAAGACATTCCAAAAAGCCATGGGGACTAAGGTGCATTTGAGTACAGTGTATCATCCTCAGACAGATGGTCAATCTGAGCGTACTATTCAGACTCTGGAAGATATGTTAAGAGCGTGCATGTTGGATTGGGGAGGTCGCTGGGAGAAACACTTACCCTTAGCAGAGTTTGCCTATAATAACAGCTATCATTCAAGCACAGGCATGTCACCATTTTAGGCTCTTTATGGTCTTCCTTGTCACACACCACTATGTTGGACAGAAGTGGGAGAGCACAAGGACATAGAGCCTGCAATAATTCAGGAGACAACTGAGCAGGTAGAGATACTTAAAAAGTAGATTAAAAGAGGCTCACAGTCGTCAGAAGAGTTATGCAGATAAAAGGTGGAAGGATCTGGAGTTTGCAGTAGGGGACTTAGTATACTTGAAGATAAGAATGTTCAAAGGTTTGAACCGGTGGGCTAAGAGAGGAAAACTTAAGCCGAGGTACATGGGGCCTTACCCAATCATTGAGAGAATTGGAGCTGTAGCATATCGTCTCGATCTACCAGGGGAGTTAGAAGCATTTCATGATGTATTTCATGTGTCTGTGCTGCGAAACATAGTCTCAGAACCAGAGTTGATTGTAGCTCAACCACTTGTTGACTTAGAAGCAGACTTATCAGTCAAAGGAAGACCTGTGGCAATTCTAAGTTATAGGGAGGCTGGTTTACAAGGAAAGAAAGCTCGAACGGTTCATGTTAGTTGGGAAAGAGATGATATTAAGGAATTATAATGGGAGTCAGAATACCAGATGCGAGTGGACTATACCGAACTCTTTTTGGACAAGAGTGAGTTATTGAATTCGGAGGCGAATTCTTAGGAAGTGGTGGAGAATTGTGAAACCCAAAAGAGCCCAGAAAACAAAAATTGTGAGGGTCGTGACCTAAGTGTAGATAAATACGGGTCTGTTTCGAGTCATTCTTCCCAGCTGCAAATTGTTTCAATCAAAACTGCTTAGTCAGAACACAGAAAGAGTTGAGAGATCGGTTCTTATTGTCTTCCAGTTTCACCGTTGCTGTCGTAAGTCTTCACCATTGTTTTGTTTGGTGTGTGTTGGCTTGAGTTGTTGTTGTGGGGGATCGTTGGGGACGTGAGAAGTGAGAGATTTGTAAGAGAGAAGCAGATTCTGAAACTCTATAATCAGATCTCGTTCACCGGAGAAACCAGAACCACCAAAGGAGAGAGAAAGAGGAGAGAAAGGAAGAAGAAGAAGAAGAAGAGTCTTGTTCAGAAGGAGGTTTTTGGGGTGATTTCCCGGCGAACCAGAGAGATCCAGACGACAATCTACATACCGTTGGAAAGCTCTCGCTGTCAGCTATTCAGATCATCTTTCTTTTATCGATATGGAGCTATATTCGATCCGCAAACCCAATCGCAAGTTGTCGCGAAACCTCTGTATTTATTTATTTCAGAAAAATCTCAGTTTAGTTCCAGTTTTAAGTAATGGTTTTGGGTTACGATTTCAGATCAGACTTGAGCTAGTAGTAGAGGATCATTAGTGGGTTGCGGTAGTGGACGTTGCAGGGAAGGTGTAGGAGCAACCGTCACCGCCGGAAAAGGTATAACTTAGCTACCACGTCGTTAACATGTTGACCAAGAAACCTTTTGTCTGCCAGAATTTGTTCAAACCAGAAACCCTAGAACTGATTTTTAAGTCGTTTCTTGTTTTTCAAGTTTCAGTTTAGATTGTCTAGATCAGCTTCAACCAATGCTTTTCTAGGAATCAGATCTGCTTAAGTCAGGTGAGGGTTGTGATCTGTGGAAACACAATTCACATTACTTCTATTATTTACATGAGTCAATATGCATAAGCTTAGACCTGATTGTTAGAATAGGTTGTGTGATGATGTGCCTAGAAAAATAAAATGATGTGATAGGATGATATGAGATAGATTATGTGATATGTTATGAGATATGTTATGAGTTATGTTTTTATATGCTATGTTATGTATGTATGGCTGACGAGCCTGGAATGGGAGTGTCTGAGCACGAGGCCAGCCTCCGAAGTATGGGGTTTTAAGGCTATCACGAGGATAGTGCCGTCTACGGGACGTATAAACCTGCAGTGTATGGAAATATTGCTTCATTCGCAAGACTCTTGATATGTGTTATAGCTTGATTAGTAAATCCGGCTATATGTTTGCTCGTGTCTAGGATTATGTGTTTTTTGATGGGTGTCAATATACGTAGAAATCTTAGTTATGTTTCGGTGGGCAGAGATGATCTCCCTCACAGAGTAATGCATTGCTCACCCCTTTCGTTTCCTTTTCTCCAGGTCAGGATGAAAATTTTGAGTAGCTGCTCAAGTCTGTTTTGCTTCTTGGTGTTATTTCGGGAACCGGGTTATATTCCATTTAAAGATAGTATTTTTCTAAGTATTAGTTCGTGGGTCTTTATGAGATTTTAGTATGAGGATTTTATGACTTTGATGAGATTTTATAAGGATTTATTTTAATAAGAATGGTTTCCAAAAATCATGGTTTTAAAAACATGTTTAAGAAATGAAAGGTAAATCCGGATTGGAAATGTGATAACGGGGTGTTACAATTGTAGTGTGATTTTACTTTTCATTTAAGAAATGTAATATTATTGTTGTGGGAAATTGTTTTCTTCTATAGAATATTTTTATATATGTGTTTATAAAACTAATGTATTTATATGATTTAATATGTGATAGTTAAAGTTCTAAAAATATATTTAAAATATGTATGAGATGTACGATAATAGAATACATTAATTAGATTATTTATAAGATAAACAAAATTAGAATGACTAAAATGAAAAGTAAAAAGTGGTTTGAGGTTTTGAACAGTGAACCTTCGAATTTGAGTATCTACTATTCACGACGTTAAAAACTAAGGATTCGAGGGTGGGTTAGAAAGAAAAAAAGCTTAAAATTTAAGGATATGAAGGTGGGTTAGAGATGGTCTTATATAAGACATATGGCAAACGTGAAAGTCAAAATACTCAGAGCCCTAATTTAATATCACTGAGCACTCGTTGCCTTTCGTTTCTTCTTCTAAAATCAAAGATCATAAGAGAAAAAACAATGATTGTTTTTGGTGTTCCGCCGGATTTGATAGATCATATACTTTCTAGTGTTCCTGCAAAAACATTGGGTTGATGGCAATCTACGTGCAAATGTTGGAACACTTTATTTAAAGACCAAAAATTCATCAAGAAACACTCTGATAGAGCATGAGAGCAGCCTTCGGTTCTCACATTGAGTGAACATAAAATCTCTTCCCTTGAGCTTCAACTTCCATGGAATCAACGCCGTTGCTCCATCTATACAGTCGAGAGTTGAACTTTACCTTAAAGAATCTCATTCTTTTTTTTCTTGAGGACAACAACTTGATATATTTATAGTGTTTCAATTGATGGTTTATTGTTATGTACCACCAAAAACGATAAACTTTGCCAATCTCCACGTTGCATGTTGCATGTCCGACCGGTTTTCGTCTTCTATTGTACCGTCAACATTTTTCGTCACTCTGTATTTTTCTAAAATTTTGTTTGTTATTTGAAAAAAAGTAAATCGACAAAGTCCTTTTTCGATGTTTTTATACTATATACATCTAACTTCAAATGTTGTTATTTCACCATTTTATTTATTTATCAAATGTTTAATCATTTTCTACGGTTGCATCGTTATATATAATTATCAAACATATATCCTTAATACCACCAAAAGAAACATCTATCCTTCAAAATATGGAAAAAGTATTATAACCAACTATTATCCAAAACATTAAAAGAAAACGATAAATCCCTCAAAACAATCTGGTCCTTGAAAATCATGATAACCAATCCAAATAATCCAAAACAAGAAAAAATTAAAAAAATATCTTTAACAGCAACAACAACAAAAGGGGAGAGAATCAACTAGAGGATATTCCCTCACTCAAGCCAGATTAGGACAATTGAGCAAGAGCTTGATCATTCGAATAGTAGATCTGACCAAAGCACTCACTATGGCCACTTCTCATTCACCCATTTCGGATAGTGGTTGTGTTTGGATGGTTTGAGAAGTTGGTGGTCATAATGAGTTACCTGGCTCGAACAAGAGATTGTTTGGATTAGCTCTGTACGAGTTGCACGTTTCAACGATTTGCTGTCTCTCAGCAGAAGCGGACGAGCTCACCATTGTTTCTTGGTGCTTTTTATTGGATAAAACGTAGGCGGGTTCGTCACGCTAACAAAAACAAAAAACATTTAGTACCGATTACTTTTTTTTTTGCATTTTTCAAGGTTAATATTGTTTTTCCATCGTTTCACTATTAGAGTGATTTCTGTCTACTTATCTGATATATATATGTATATATATATATTCACAATCAATACACAGTATATTTGTACTACATATAATATAATTTTATTTCAAATGTAGATGTATGTCATCTTGTTAAATGACAAAGTTGATGATAGATGACACAAGTATCCAAAAAATATAGAGAAAATTATTTAAAATGACCTACAATGAAAAAATATTACAGAAGTAAGCTTTTTTAAAGAATATTTGATAAAAACTAGCGTTATCTTTTTAATAATTTTTTGTGCAAACTATGATAGATTAAATGCAGAATAAATTATTAGTTCATTATACAACTGAAAGTAGACTAAATGTAGATCAATAGCAGACTAAAGATAAACTAACTGCACACTAAAGCTACACTGATAATACATTAGTCAACCTTTCTTACAATTATTATTATGGAAGATCCTGTTTTCACATTAAAATTTACAAATAAAATATTTAAACAAATGATTCAAAAATTTAATAGTGAAATTTTTTTAGATAATTGGAAATAAAATACTTACCATCTCTTTGAGGACGGCGTTTTCCAAATAATGTTTTTGGAGATTGCGTTCGCGTTCGTCTCTACCAAAAGAAGGACTTCCACAAGCTGGACACAGCACATTCTGTAAAACATCTAGCATTGCTTCATTCTCACATCGGATCTTATCATTTTCACCACGAAGTAATATGTTAGAAGATCTTTCATCTTGAGCCTGTATAGCATATCAAAACATTATTTTAGAAAAATGTTAATTTGTTGAGATAATTATAAGATTTTTTTTTATAAAGATCTGCGTATATATATACTTTGCTTTGACTTCTTTTGTTCTGAAACCAATATTTGACCTGGTCTAGCTCGAGATTCAGCTCTTTGCATAACTTGTGTCGCTGTGATTCACCCGGATGAGGACATTCTTTGAAATAACTATATCCATTTGTCGGAAATCAAAAAGTAATCTGTTATAATCCAAAATTGTATTAGTTACTTTTGAAATTAATAGAGTTAATAAAGATTTTATGCTTCAAGTTTCTGGATCTGTTGAGGAGTGTGGCGATGACAAATCCTATTATCTCTTTTATTAGCGTCTACCGAAGTATGTTGTTCGTTGCTTGAGCTTCCACCACCATCACAATCCATTTTGGTCTTCACAAATTTTGTAATAATGTTGTTTTTTTATTTGTAATTCACAAGCTAATTAGCATTTATATGGAAAAGGATGGTTGTAAAAGAAGTTCATAAAATCGAAAAATATGGATATTTACTATTGGAGTGGGTATCATTATATGTTAAAGGGTAATTTATATTTTTTAATTCAAATATGTATCACAGTTAGAGATATAAAGTAGCATTTTTGTGGTGTACAAATGTACTGAGGTTGAAGCAAATATATATATATATATATATATATGTAAATACAGCAAAACTTAATTTATTGCGAGGAGATTTGTTTTCTATTTTATTGTTGGTTGAATCATGTTTAACGATGAATTCAACCAAATTAAATAAACATCTTTTTCTTTTAGTTTAAAATTAATTTAAAATACTATATATTTAAAAAAACTAAAATACTATAGATTTTAATGAATAAATTTCAACGTCTACCTAATAACAAAAAAATTATTTTCATATATATTAAATCTTTAAATTTTATTTTAGTGTTTTAGTTTTAAACCAATAGTTCGAAAATATCTAATATTATTATTATATTTTATTTATCATATAGAATTTTGTTTTAAAATGACTGTGACATATTCAACTTTCTATTAAAGTTTAGTAATTTATTATTTATAAAAGTTTGAGGTAATCATTAAAATAATTTTTAAGTAAAATAGTATAAAATAAAATATTAGTTAGTTTATTATATATATATATATATACATACAGCTCATTCCATAAATATAAATACCAAAACATTGAATGTCAATTAAAATAAATCGGAAATAAAATTAATTATTTAAAGATATGCCTCAAAAAGAAAAGAATTTATTACAACAATATCATCTTTTCATCTGTCGAAAAACCTGTAAAACTATAGTGATGTTGCAAATGGTCGGACTATGATAGTAGTGTATGAATTGATGAACTATTTTTAGCCAAACCAGATTGTCAACAAATGGATCAACACTGATTTACTTTGAATAAAAAAACATAAATTTTGAAGTTTTTTTATTCAAAAACTATATTACAGTGAAAAACTAAACTAATCTGACTAGTTCATAATAGAATTCAGTGAACATAGGATCTTAATCTCGGCCATGAGTACATTTACTGTTCAACAACTTTGACAAATTTATCATTAAAATAATTATGCTTATTAGATCTATATTGATTTGGTTCGCTAAATTTAATTTTGGATCCAATCCACAGTTTCACACAAACATTATTTGTGTGAAACAACATTTAAGGTTAAAATCTTATCTTTCTTTTTCGAGTTTACACCCAACGGCCAATTCTATACTTGGATTAGTCAAAGTCAACCAGAAATCATCCGATCAACATCCAATCAAATCAACGATCAAATTTATTTCTCTTCACCAAGATTCAAGCTCAATGGTTCTTTCCATCTCTTATTCTAGATTGACCATTCATAACCAAATCCATGCAACCCATACTTTTAAGCTTGATGATGGGGACAATTAAAAGGGTGTATTCGAACAAAAATTTAGATTTAAAGTACTTAATTATGTGTTATTCAAACCTAAATTTTTTAAACTACTTTTCAAATATAGTGTTACCGAGCTACTATTTTTTTAGGTTTACACTCGACGACCAATGCCATGTTTGAATAACCGAGTTAGTTTAAATCAGCTGATTAACCACTATTCAATCTAAACAATAGTTTAAATCTTCTCATTCACCCATTTCGGATAGTGTTTGTGTTGGGATGGTTTGAGAAGTTGGTGGTCCTAATGAGCTACCTGGCTGGAGCTAGAGATTGCTTGAATTAGCTCCGTACGAGTTGCGAGTTTCAACGATTTGCTATCTCTCAGCAGAAGCGGAAGAGCCCACCATTGTTTCTTGGTGCTTGTTCTAGGATACAAAGTTGGTGAGTTCGTCATGCTAACAAAAATAAAAAACATCTAGTACCGACTAATTTTTTTTTTCATTTTTCATGGTTAATATTGTTACTCCATCGTTTCACTATTATAGTGATTTCTGTCTACATGTCTGATATATATATTCACCATCAATTCACAGTATACTTGTACTACATATCATTTTATTTCAAATATAGATGTATGTCATCTTGTTAAATGACAAACTTGATGATAGATGAAACAAATATCCAAAAAATATAGAGAAAATTATTTAAAATGACCTACAATATGAAAATATTATATAATTAAGCTCCTTTAAAGAATATATGATAAATACTAGCGTTATCTTTTTTTTTTTTTTTGCAAACTAATGATTAAATGCATAATAATTATATATTAATGTTTGATTAATTCATTATACAACTGAAAGTTGACTAAATATAGATCAATAGCAGACTAAAGGTAAACTAACTGCAGACTAACGCTAGACTGACATTAGTCAACCTTTCTTACAATTATTCCTATGGAAGGTCCCATTTTCACATTAAAATTTACAAATAAAGTATCTAAACAAATGATTCGAAAATCTAATAGTAAAATATTTTAGATAAATGGAGATAAAATATTTACCTTCTCTTTGAGGAAGGCGTTTTCCAAATGCAGTTTTTGGAGATTGTGTTTGTGTTCGTCTCTACCAAAAGAAGGACCTCCACAAGCTGTATAAAGCACATTCTTTAAAATCTCTAGCATTACTTCATTCTCACATTGGATCTTATCGTTTTCACCAGGAAGTAATATGTTAGAAGATCTTTCATCATGAGCTTATATAGCATATCAAAAAATTATTTTAGAAAAATGTCTATTTGTTGAGATAAATTATAAGATTTTTTTTATAAGGATCTGCGTAGATATATACTTTGCTTTGAGTTCTTTTGTTCTGAAACCAAAATTTAATCTATACCAGCTCGAGATTCAGCTATTTGCATAACTTGTGTCACTGTGATTCTCCTGAATGAGGACATTCTTTGAAATAACTATATTCATTTTCAGGAAATAAAAAAGTAATATGTTATAATCCAAAATCGTAACAGCTTTTTAAAATTAATAGTGTAAATAAAGATTTTACGCTTCAAGTCTCTTGAATTGTTGAGGAGTGTGGCGATGACAAATTTTCTTCTCTCTTTTCTTGGCGTCTACCGAAGTATATTGTTCGTCGCCTGAGGTTCCACCACCATCACAATCCATTTTCGTCTTCACAAAAAAATCTAGATTTGTTTTTGTAATAATGTTGTCTTTTTTTGGTAATTCACAAGCTAATTAGTATTTATATGGAAAATGGTGGTTGTAAAAGAGGTTCATAAAAAGGAAAAATATGGATATTTACTATTGGAGTGGATATCATTATATGTTAAAAGGTAAGTTTTATTTTATATAATTCAAATATGTATCAGAGTCAAAGATATAAAGTAGCATTTTTGTTGTGTACAAATGTACTGAGGTTAAACCAAATATATATATGTAAATATAGCAAAACTTAAGATATCGGGAGGAGATTTGTTTTCTATTTTATAGTTGGCCAAATCATGTTTGAGGGTGAACTCAACCAAATTAAGTAAACATATTTTTCTTTTAGTTTACAATTAATTTAAAATACTATATATTTTAAAAAACTAAAATACTATAGATTTTAATGAAGAAATTTCAACACCTACCTAATAACAAAAAAATTATTTTTTTCACTAATATAAATCTATAAATATTATTATAATGTTTTGGTTTTAAAACCAATAGTTCTAAAGTATATAATATTATTATTATATTTTATTTATAATATGGAAATTGTTTTAAAAAATGACTTTGACATATTCAATTTTCTATTAAAGTCTAGTATTCTATTATTTATAAAAGTTTGAGGTAATCATAAATATTATTTTTAACTAAAATAGTATAAAATAAAATATTTGTTAGTTTATTATATATATATATATATATACAACTCAATTCATAAATATAAATACCAAAACTTTCAATGTAAATAAAAATAAATTGGGAAGAAATGTAATTATTTGAATATATGCTTCAAAAAGAAAAGAATCTATTACAACAATATCTAAAACAAATATCATCTTTTCATCAATCTAAACACCTGCAAAATAGTGTGGATGGTTTTACTAGTTAGTGATGTTGCAAATGGTCGGACTATGATAGTAGTGTATGAGTTGATGAACAGTTTTTAGGCGAACCAGATTGTCAACAACTAAATCAACACTGATTTACTTTGAATAAAAAAACACGAATTTTTAAAATTTTTTTATTCAAGAATTATATTTCAGTGAAAAACTAGACTAAACTGACTAGTTCGTAATAGAATTTAGTGAACATATGATCTTAATCTCGGCCATGACTATATTTACTGTTCATCAACTTCGATCAATATATCACTAAACTAATTATGATTATTAGATATATTTGAATTGGTTCGCTAAATTTAATTTAGGATCCAATCCACAGATCCACACAAACATTATGAATTATCTCATCGTCAATGGTCTTATCTGACCGAGTCAACATTTAAGGTTAAAATCTTGTCTTTTGTTTTTTGAGTTTACACCCAATGGCCAATTCTATACATGAATTAGTCAAAATCTACCAGAAATCATCCGATCAACATCCAATCAAATCAACGATCAAATTTATTTCTCTTCACCAAGATTCAAGCTCAATGGTTCTTTCCATCTCTTATTCTAGATTGACCAATTCATAACAAAATCCATCCAACCCATACTTTTAAGCTTGATGATGAGGGCACTTAATAGGGTGTATTCAAACAAAAATTTAGATTTAAAATAATTAATTATGTGTTATTCAAACACAAATTTTTTTAAACTATTTTCAAATACTGTGTTACCGAGCTACTATTTTTAGGTTTACACTCAACGACCAATGCCATGTTTGAATAATTGAGTTAGTTTAAATCATCCGATTAACCACTATTCAATCTAAACAACAATCGAACTTGTTTCTTTTGACCAAACTCAAGTGAAGTATGTAATTCTCCGATTAATATATTAATTTGCACAAACATTGATTCTAAGCGACAGTTAATATACACATACATTTATTCAGCCCCGTCTTAGCAATTTCAAGAGCCTTAGGCAAAATACGAAATATGGACCTTTTATATTATATTAATAAAAAGTAACTGTATTAATCAAAATAAATCAAACTATAAATTTTTGATTTTTAAAATAGAAAATAAGTTGCTAATTTGTCAAAAAAATATATATATACATAACTAGTTTGTATAATATTTTTTTGATATAGTACTTCATTCAAGTGCATTATTTCTGTAAATTGCATAAAAAATCATCAAACATAAAAAAATACAAAAGAATATTAATTCCTTTCAGAAAAATGAAAAATCATGTATATATTTTTTTCCTAACTTTATTGATCTAAAATTATTGATAATTGTTTCAAAATTTATAGATTTTAAAACTTTCTTTTCAATGCATAAAAGTACAATACCATTCAACATTTGTTGAACTGATCTTGAAATTCTTTTTAATTTTAAATAATTGAGATGGTTGTTTGTCTTGTTAACAAAGGAAACAATTAAGGTAAAATTCTTTTTGTATAAGTAGGTTATGACGTTATTAATAACTGAATAAATGATGAGCCTTTTATGTACTAAAAATTAATTATATATTCATAACTGTCTTCAAGAATATATTTTTAACAAATTTTATAATATATTTAAAAAATTGGGCCCTTAAATTATAGGTATAGTTTTTTTAGATCATAATCCTTTTTTTTATTAAATAGATCATGGGCCTTATTATGTACTATATATTAGTTCTATTTTTCTTCATGTGAACACATTATAACAAAGTTTTCAATATATATAAAAAAAAAAAAATTGGGCCCTTAAATTGTTGGACCCATGGCCATTGCCCCTCCCACCATGCCTTAGAGTCGGGGCTGCATTTATTATTCTTCCTTTATTTTTAATTGGATGGAGTCGTGTGAAGTAAGCAAACTTATTTTAAAAAAAAATATTATGAAATTATGTTTCTCTTTAGGAGTCAAGACAAAGAAAAGACTTAAAACATATAAATGATGCCATGTGAGAATATATGCAGTAGATATATATGTATATATACTTTTACGTCTTTTCTTGTTCTATTTTATAAATAAATTTAAAATAAAAGATGAATTATTAAATTTTATAAAAAATTCATATATGAATAAGAGTAAAAATGGAAGTTATTTTTTTTTCATTTAGTCTTAGAGTATCTCCAACCACAAACCTCATTTTAAGGGCGGTATATCCTCAAAATAAGGATTTAAGGGTCCATTGTTTCAATGATAAAACCTCAAATTCATTCTTAAAAAAAAAAACTTAATTTTTGCATTATAGTCCTAAATATTTATCAGGTTCAAAGAAAGGGTGGGCCGTCGGTATGAATCCAATATTATGGACTTTTGTTTTTCAAAAATATGGTTGATTAATTATAAGAATAAAAATTAGTTAAGTTGTTGACAATTTGATTTCATCAAATGAATAAATTCTTAATCTCTTGAAAGACAATACATCAAGTAGGGACAAGACTCATGAAATAGCTCAAATATTGTTAAGCTCAGAGGTTAGAGCATAGCATTTGTAATGCGATGATCATCAGTTCGATTCCAATAGCCAGCTTTTCCATATTTTTTCTATTTATTCCTATAGATTGGATCAAAGACAATTCTATCGATGATCATAATACACACGAGTTTATTCGATCAAAACAAGCAAGAATCATCCAAAAAGAACTCAAGAACAACAAGACCAATCTCCGACTACGCCAAACTTTTATGGACAAGTTTTTCATGATCTTGGAGGTTCAGGATCAAAATTTCTTGAATACTAGTATTTTTATATGAATCTTAATTTGTGTTATATTTATGTTATTTAATTTTCATATATAATATTTATTATTGTAGTGTGATTTTAATTTTCATTTAAGAAATGTAAGATTATTGTTATGGGAAATTGTTTCAATCTGGAGAATATTTTTTATATACATTTGTGTTTATAAAAACTAGTGTATTTATTTGATTTAATATATGATAGTTAAATTTCTAAATATATATTTAAAATATGTATGAGATAATGATAATATAATACATTAATTAGATTATTTATTAAATAAACAAAATTAGACGGACTAAAATGAAAAGCAGAAAGTGGTTTGAGGTTTTGAACAGTGAACCTTCAAATTTGCGAATCTACTATTCACGCCCTTAAAAAATAAGGATTTGAGGGTGGGTTGGAAACAAAAAAAAACTTAAAATTTGAAGATTTGAAGGTGGGTTGGAGATGCTCTTATGCAAGACATGTGGCAAACGTGAAAGTCAAAAGACTCAGAACCCTAATTTAATATCACAGAGCACTCGTCGCCTTTTGTTTCTTCTTTAAAATCAAAGATCATAAGAGAAATAACAATGATGGTGTTTAATGTTCTGCCGGATTTGGCTGACAAGATACTTTCTAGGGTTGCTGCAAAAACACTGGGTTGATGGAAATCTACTTGCAAATGTTAGAACACTTTATTCAAAGACCAAGAATTCATCTAGAAACACTCTGATAGAGCACCAAAGCAGCCTTCCGTTCTCACATTGAATGAACATAAAATCTCTTCCCTTAAGCTTCAACTTCCATGGAATCAACACCGCTGCTCCATCTATAAAGTCAAGAGTAGAACTTTACCTTGAAGAATCTCATTCTTTATTCTATAGGACAACAACTTGATATATTTACAGTGTTTCAATGTGACGGTTTATTGTTATGTACCACCGAAAATGATAGACTTTGCCGATCTACACGTTTCATGTCTGTCCGGATTCGTCTTCTATTTTACCGTCAACATTTTTCATCACTCTGTATTTTTCTAAATTTTTGTTTGTTATTTGAACAAAAGTAAACCGACAAAGTCCCATTTTGATGTTTTTATACTATAAACATTTAACTTCAAATGTTGTTATTTTACCATTTTATTTATTAATCAAATGTTTAATCATTTGCTACGGTTGCATCGTTATATATAATTATCAAACATATATAATTAATACCACCCAACGAAACATCTATCCTTCAAATATGGAACAATTATTATAACCAACCAAAAGGTCCAAAACATTAAAAGAAAACTTTAAATCCCCCATAATAATCCTGTCCTGGAAAACCATGATAACCAGTCCAAATAATC